CAAGCCACACTCACTCAACTCAAATCTCCTGATTCATTAAGAACAGCAAGCCACCGTTACACAGTACAAGCTATGTTCCTAACATTAAATATGATTTTTATACACTATTAGACAAAGTCTAGACAATTTCTGTCAGAGAAATTCTCTCCCTGTTGGAGATACTGGAAATTTTGACTTGGAGACAAGTGTTCACCCCCAAAATTTACATCATTAACTTAACAGGTCTTGCTAGAACGCTGGATCAGTTATTGATGGGCAATCCTGTACCCAGGCTGGTAAAGAGCCAGTATCTTTACAGCAGGTATTTTTACATGCTTGCCAAAATGACCACCTTTCCTCCCTCCCCAAACTGTGCCACAGTAGTGAGCACTACATCTGACCTCAGAACAGGTCAGAGAAGAACTGATTTCAATAGTACAGCCAATGGTAACTTTCTCTACTTCATGGAAAATTACAATCCCATCTTAAGATCTCAGGTAGCAGGATCCCAACTTGGTTTTGCCTGAAGTAAAAAAAAAAATAAATAAAATCTATTTTTCCTCTGCTTTTTGTATAAAAAGATACTGCTATTACTCAAGTGTTTTCCCCAGTTTTATGACAAAAAGTACCTTTTACAATCAGAAAGTCCCCAACAAGTTTCAAGTTCAAAAGTTTACTGCTGTTCAGTTTAAGATTTCAGAAAGCTCTTAGAACTGTCTTTCAGCTTCAATGATTTATTGCATGCTTGGAAGACCTAAACCTTAATACGATTTACTGCTGCCTTTTAACACAGCTACCGCGTTTAACCAAGATGCTACCGACTTGCTCTCTGAGAAAAAGCACGTTCTGTCAGTAACCAGGCCGAGAGTTTTACATAAAATACTACCCTGCAGCAAGTATTCACATAATTCTTAGTGTAATTTAACATTTTCTAAATCGCTAATACTACCCTTATGTATGCAACAGGTGACTGACACAATGGGATTGACATTATTGATGCTCTAGAAAGCTTACAACCAAGACCTGTAATCCTGTTGTCAGTAACATATAAAATTAATATGAAAAAAAAAATAGGCTATAGGAGAGTGAGATGAACAAAGATAAGAGCAGCAACAGATTCAGAAACACTTCTGAACTTCAAAATTTTGAATGCAACTTCTTAAAAATGCTTGTCCGAATAACTAGAGGGGGAGGGGTGCTTTGCTTTGTTTTTTTTTGTTTGAGTGGTTTTGGGTTTTTTTTCACAAGTAGAAGGAAGTAAGTACAGCTTTACCGACATAGGGTAAAGATTCTTGGCAGCCCAGAACCAGGGACACAGGGCACACATGAATGGGAATATGCAGAACGACTCTTTTGGCACACATCCCAAAGGAAGAGCAAACACACCAAGGCATTGCACCAAAAAGGGATTTTGACAAAGAATGCTTTCGTGTTGCCAGCTCCCTAACCCACCCAGAGTACAACCAGTGTTCGTGCTCAGGAAGGTTCACAAACATAGTAATAATCTCGGAGAAAAGAAAAACAGGAAGCCATCAGCGAGAAGGCCGACAGCCATCGGGCAGAGCACACACCAGGATGAATCCAGGGTTATCGTGAAAGTTTTGGGGTAACCGCTTACCACGTCACCTATGCCGGAACACCAACCTCTTGCATACAATCCTTATCCCACTACTTCTGACTTGTGTGATGTCCATGGGATTGAAGAGAGATCGTTGTTGCAAAACCCTAGCCTCTCACTTGCCTTTAGTGCTCTAAGACCAGATCCCATTCATAACAAGGTTTTGGTCAACTCCACCTCAAACCTAGAGAGAGCTACAGAGACAAAAAGGAACTGCAATGCATGACTACAAAACAGGTCTCTATAGGTCTTCCTCTTATCCATGGACTACAACAGTACAGAGAGTCTGCATCGCATCTTTAAGTTGTTACAGACAAGGGAATCCAATAGAACACAATAGGCAGCTGATTTTTAAGCCTTTAGCCTCTGAACCTAGAGCCTAAAGCATGAAGAACTCCCCTTCAAACAGGCCTCCGCTAAGCCGAAGTGAAGCAGCTGATGCTTCTGCTACGGCATTTTCAATGTTATTCTCAGCGTTATAGAGGAAGGTGGGATTTTTTTGTTCTGTTTTGTTTTTTAACTACCACACGCACCAAAGGTCAATACTGAAACTGCGCCGGAGATAGCATTGACGAAAAGGAAACACGGATAGGGAAGTGTGAACTCTCATCAGAATAAAAGAAGCCAGCTCTTCAACACTCAGATAATAAAAAGTCCTGTCCACTCCAACAGCTCTGGCAGGACAGGAACAGCAGGAAACGTTTGTGGTTTCAGCTGACCATACGGCTTGTTTGTGTCATTCCCTGAAGAACCACATGTACACAACCATAACTTCTGGTCACCACAGCAGTAAATTCCAACTAACTCAAGAGTGCTCAGCACTTCATGTGCATGTCAGGTGAACTGTGACCCCCTCCACAGAGTTAACAGAGTAGCCCAGATATTCAGTCTTATTTACCAGTACCTGAAATTAAGTAGCTACCTCCAAAGAGGGTGCTTTTATGCTGTCACCTAATTTTTGATTTTGAATTTTAAATTTGGATGTATTGATTTTTAACCCTTTATTCTGAAGACTCTTTGGCCACCTACATAAATTGCCTATTTACTTCCATACACAACTCATATAAATGTTCAGTTCTTAAGCGTTTACCCGTTGTGAGAAAAGAAGCCACTTCTGCTGCTGAGAAGTGAGCACATTTGCCAGAAATAGGGTGCTTGCTTTTAAACATCAAGTTCTGTAGGTCCCACAGGTGACTGGGGGTGTCTGCTGAAACTCTTTATGCAGAGAGTTTTATCATCTCTCCCCCTAAGAGGACCTCTGGTG